CATGTGATGAAGGATCTCAAAATGAGAGGGTCCTGTGTCATCGGAGTGGATGTTGATCTAGTGACAAGTGTCCCTATGAGAGACACAAGAAGTCAGTAGTGCAAAGACAGAAGCAGAGGTATGGGAGTCCCAGAAGGGTATGGGAATCCCCTGCCCCGACCTGTTTTCCTCCTACCTCCTGTTTCCTGTTGTGGCCTCCCATAGGCTGAGCCAGCCAGATACCAGAGACATGGTTGGAGTGCCAGGCGCACACAGGTAGCTCGTGGGTGCAGAGCAGGGTGGAGGAGCAGGTCAGTTCTAGGGAGAGTGACCACTAGAGAGTGACCAGCACCCAGGATGGCCTTAAAGCCAAGTGCTAACTAGTGTGTGACAAAGGTTGTCACTCAGGTGGACAGAGGAGCACGGGGTGAAGTCTCCCCACCTTGTTCCCCCCATTCTTGTAAGCTAGGGCCACCATGCATTTAGAAACAGTCCTCCGTGGGTGGAGGTAGGGAGGTCGGTTCCTTCTTCGACCCATGAGGGCACATCTGCCCCTCCCCTTCCCTCCTTTCTGGGTGACCTTTGGCATGGCCTGGGTGGTGGATGCATCGCCCCATCTCAGCCTCGTCTCCTGCTCACAGAAGCCCCATCAGGATGGTGGCCACGTCACCATGGTGGCTAGCGCAGTCCTAATGAGCACATTTTAACTTACCATCCAATCTCCAAATGGAGTCACCACGAGGGGTTCTAGAAGGTGGGACTCTGCCCTGTGAATTTGAGAGGGGATCAGGAAGCAGGTGTGTGACTGGAGAGACACACCCTTCATACTAAGAAACCTTTTGTAATTTTAATTTTTTTTTCACTCCAAGCCCCCAAAGACACAGCCATGTGGCAGCCACACCGTCTCTGTGTCTTTAAGTGAAAGGACTGTGGGGCCCACTGGTTCTCTGGAGCTACTGTAACAAATTACCTGAAACCAGGCAGCTTAAAATAACAGAAATACCGGGCAGCTTAAAATAACAGAAATTGTTCTCTGGCAGTTCTGGAGGCCAGGAATTCCAAAATGATGCCACGGGCACAGTCATGCTGTCTGAAGGCTCTGGGGAGGGCCCTCCCTCGCCTCTTCCAGCCTCTGGGACCCCAGGGCTCCTTGGCGTGCAACTGCATGGCTCCAGGCCCCATGTATGTCTTTTTTTGGCCCCTCCTCTCTGATGTCTGAGTCCACCCTATGTCCCTCCTCATCTTTGATGACACACATGCCACTGGGCTGAGGATGCTTTAAATTCAGGACGATCTCCTCTCAAGACCCTCAGTTAGTCTGGATGCAGTGGCTCATGCCTGTCATCCCAGTGGCTTGGGAGGCTGAGTCTGGAGGATTGTGAGTTCAAAGCCAGCCTCAACCAAAGCTAGGCCCTGAGCAACTCAGTGAGACCCTGTCTCTAAATAAAATACAGAATAGGGCTGGGGATGCAGCTCAGTGGTCAAGTGCCCCTGAGTTCAATATTCTTGGTACCAAAAAAAAAAAAAAAAACCACCCTCAATTACATCTGTAAAGCCATTTTTCCAAATAAGGTGACATCATCAGTCTGGCGATTAGGGTTGGGGAAGGCCAGACCTCACCCTGCCTCTGACTTCCATGGATGTCTGTTCAGTTAAAACTCACACACATAACAACGTACCCTCCACAACCCATGCTAGACAACAAGTATCTACTTCAAAACAGCCAGAGAGAAGATTTTACATGTTCCCAACACCAAGAAATGGTAAATGTCTGAGGTGGTACCTAAGCCAGTTATCTGATGGTGACCTCCTCAAAAAGCACAAGTATCATGAGTCAATTAAAATTTTGTTTGAATTTAAAAACATACCCTCCACCTTGGAAATGACTTTGGGGGTCCTTGTTTCGAGATCGTTCATTTACTCAACAGCTATTTCTATTTATTGATGTCTTTAATTATATGACCATGGTGGGGGGTGGGGGGTTCTGTGCCCTTGGCCCTGTCAGGATGCCTTTTAGGGGTGGCTCCTAGGCATGAGCCTTGGATGAGAGGTCAGATGGGGGCTTCCCGCCGGCCCTGGCTGG